AGAGTAGATTTGTGTTTCATGTCTAGAAGCTGAACCAAAGTCAGTTTAAGGTAGAGATGCAGTTTACCTGACAGGTATTTTAATTAGTTAATTAGGAAACCAAGATGACCACCCTTGTCCACAATGCTATATATTTTCGGAAAGCTTATTGTGTGAATTTTAAAATTTTGTTAGTATTTTTTTTTATAAACACTAAATATGCACAAAATGTGCTTTTTTGGTGAAAAGTGATTTAAAAAAAAATTATCTTCTAAGCCATGCTTCTGTTTTCTGTTAAAATTGGTCTTGAAAACTGTCTACCATTTGTCAATTTTGCAGGGCAGCAGCTCAAATGTCACTACTTCAAGTTTATGCATAAATTAACACACAGGGTAGTTGTCTGTACGGTTGTTGTAACACTGTTCAACCAAAAACAATGCCCCGACTGCGTTTTGCAGATAAACACATTGTCAATCATTTGTGAAAATTTAAAAACAAAAGGTCAAAGTGTCCAGGAGCTATTTTTTTTATGTTTTGGTATCTGCACTAAAAGAAGCGAGATAATTGCTAATTTGCATAACAATTCACTCAGTAAGAAGTTTGCTAATGCTCATAATTAAAAGGGCTGTAACAGTTCCATATTTAATTGTATTATAGTTTTGTTAAAAGTTAAATATAGTGCATAACATGGAGATCCCGGCATTTCTTTTTTTCACCATGTTTCTTTTTTATCATTTATGTACAGCCTTGCTAAATCTTGCTAAGCATTCAAAAGAGAGAATGTTTGTACCAGTTTTCTATATTTTAAAATCGTCTTTTGAGTATGTTCCACTATTCACAATTCTACAAAATTTTAACAGTCTATAACCAAGACTGTTATGATAATAAAAGGCAAAAGAAAAAAAATTCACTCCCAAGTGCCCACGAACCTGCATCTCTACTTTAAGTGACAATAATATTAACATGTGCACTAATTATAAAAGCTTTTTTTAAAATATTTTAACAGGTTAGTGGTACCTAATAAGTATAAAAACAAAGTCTACAAAATATTTTGTTTCACCATGAGAGGGCGCTCAAACATAGGTAAGAGGATTAACCATTTATTCTATTTTTAACGCAAAGAAAAATCCCGATGGAAAATCCCATACTTAGTTTCAATAGATCGTGAAAAGTTGAAATATGTAGTTTGAAATCCGAAAAATATATTTTTTTT